AGCACGTGAAATTTTGACCTGTGTTAGAGTTAGGATTAAGGTGCCTTTTGGCTTTTAACAAAAAAATTCCTTGCAAAATTTTGGTATAAGCTATACCTTGCCTGATCCCAAACCCACCCTTACCCTAACCATTAGTAAGGGTTTAATTTTTCATTTGTAAAAATTAGTTTGATTAGTATGTTGCATGAATATATAATTCAATAAATTATACCCGTATATAAATACTATGTATAAACTAATAAATTTTCTTTTATTTATTAGAACGTAAAAGATGAGTTATCTGAAAAAGCATTCGATTTCACATTACACAAAGATTTTATTTGATCTTGTGGAAAATTTTCTTTTTTTGAATTTGTATCGCTTGCTAAGTATACGCGTTTACATAAATTTTTAAAAAAAAAATTTTTTTCTCAAACACCTGATTTCATAGATTTCTACAAACTTAATGAAGCTAACAGCTGGACGTATGCAGAGGTTGTAGAGTACTATCATACGAAACTAGAGCAAAAGGATTGGATGAGAGTACTGGATAAAATCAAAAAGGATCTTCAAATTGTGGCATCTTCAGATTTAAGTTTTGACAAGAAATGCAAAAGAAAAGCTCAAAGCATTCTTGACTGCTAGAGGGTTTGTATTAGTAAGATAAAATTTAAGTAATTTAGGAAAAGCTGTGACTGTTAGTCTACAGTTATGAACTGTTAATTCTTCCTTGACACAAGCTATGACTATTAGTCCACAGTGATAAACTGTTAGTTCGACGTCTAAGCGCAAGCTGTGACTGTTAGTCTACAGTGATGAACTGTTAGTTCGACGCTTTTTTTTGTTTTATACATTTATGCAATATTTTTTTGCAGGTGCTATTAATTCAGCATTTATTATGAATTGGACAAAGATAGACGGTAATGCAAATTTTAAGTTCGAGGTTTATCAGGTGAGATTCTAGCCTGAAAATTTCTTAAGACAAAAAAAACTTGGGTAACATTTTTTTTTCGATTAGATACAATAGCAGGTGCTCACGACTAGTAATAATGTATCTATCGATAATATCGATAATTATCATAACGATCAATGAGAAACAATTAGT